TAATCTTACCAAGGGAAGTTTATTCTGTAGCTATCATGTGTTTTTCACCTCTGCATAACTTGCCAATGCTTCTTTATTCTGAGGATTGGAAAGTCTTGGAAATACAGACTGGAAATCCTGGTGGCATAGTAGTTAAGTGCTATGGCTGCTAACCAAAAGGTCAGCAGTTCAAGTCCACCAGGTACTCCTTGGAAACTCTATGGGGCAGTACTACTCTGTCTGACAGGGTCACTATGATTGACCTGACGACAATGGGTTTGGTTTTTTTTTTTTTGGTTTGAGCAAGAGGGAGCAGGCGTTCATAGTCTTAGTTCTGTCTGCAGGAAGGCTATTTGGGGGAATCACAGAGCAAGCATTTATAGCCGTCTACATGTTCACTGGGAACAGATTCCCTAAGAGCCTCATTAGAGACAAAAAGAGAGTAATTACCACCTACCTTTTGGCCCCTTTGGACCAAACAATGATGACAGATTACTTAAGATGTAGGTGTAACTTTTGGGTCAAAACGTGAAGATATTAGACATGGAGCCATCTTGATGGAGACAAATCCCGGACAAAATTCCCTAGGACTTCAGTTCTCATCACCTTGCTCTTCTGGTTCTGTGTCCATAGATGTGAAAATTCAGTGATTAAATCCTCTTTCTTCACACTTCCCATGTTCAGAACTGGGGCTATTCCTGTGTTTTCTCTGTAACCCTAGTTTCTCATGTATGGTCATCTTTAGAGACGATTAATGATACCTGTCTACTCCATTTTGCTGATGGGAATGTTAGGAACACATTACAAAGCCGGACTTAGACCATAAAACCATTTGGGATATAGGATACTCTGAAGGAGGGTTGGCTGGAGGAGAGGCCAGCATGCTGTGATTTATGAACTCTAGACCTCTTTTGGGGTATATGTCCAACCCACAGGTTTTAGCCTTTTCTCAGAGTGGAAGCCCCTAATCCACATAGCTACAGTGTGGTGGGGTCCCAACAATCATGTGTTTATACTACATTCCTTCCGCCTTCGCCATAGGTGATTGGACCAGGGTGTTTAGAACTGGGATTGGAGGACAGCCAGTCCTTATCACTCTGTGGCTTGTCTGGAATGTGTACGCTCAACCCTCTTCTGCCTGCCTCATTGACTGCCCATGGATTGAGGAGCAGAGAGGGGCTAAAGAGGCAAACACACAGAGAAGAGAAGATATTAGTTGGAGAAAGTCCTCCTGGTTTTCTAGTTCTGGGTTTTAGTCTTTTTCTCATGATTAGCTACATTCCAGCATATTTCAGTAAGAGTTCTTAATTGCAAGTAACTAATGCAAACCCTGGACAAATTTAGTAGAAGAAGATTTCATAAAAAGAATATTGAGAATGATTAGATAAGAAGCTTGAGGGGCAGTGAGTTTGTATGAATGGTGGGAACTAATTCAGAAAAGAAGGGTAAGAATGGCTGCACAACTTGAAGAACGTAATCAACGTCACTGAACACTACAAGTAGAAATTGCTGAATTTGTGTATGTTTTGCTGTATATATTTTCAATGACAATTTTTTAAAGTAAAAAGAAAATATTGAGTCACAAAAGGGATGTGGTGTACAAAAACTAACTCAAAATGTATCAAAGACCTAAATATAAAATCTAAAGCAATACAGATCCTGGAAGAAAAAATCGGGACAACACTGGGAGGCCTAACACATGGCATAAACAGAATACAAAATGTAACTAACAATGTACAAACACCAGAAAAGAAACTAGGTAACGGGGAGCTCCTAAAAATCAAAGCTCGTCAAAAGACTTCACCAAAGGAGTGAAAAGATAAGCTACAGGCTGGGAAAAAAAATTTGGCTACAATATATCTAATCAGAGTCTAATCTCTAAAGTCTACAAGATACTACAAGACCTCAAAGACAAATAACCCAATTCAAAAATGGGCAAAGAATTTGAACAGACAGTTCATCAAAGAAGACATTCAGGTGGCTAACAGATACATGAGGAAATGCTCACGATCATTAACCATTAGAGAAATGCAAATCAAAACTACCATGAGATACCATCTCACCCTAACAAAGCTAGCACTAATCCAAAAAACACAAGATAATAAATGTTGCAGAGGTTGTGGAGAGACAGGTACACTTATACACTGTTAGTGGGAATGTAAAATGGTACAACCACTTTGGAAATAGATTCAGCACTTCCTTAAAAAGCTAGAAATAGAAGTACCATATGATCCAGCAATCCCACCCCTTAGAATATATCCTAGAGGAATAAGAGCAGTCACACAAATAGATATATGCACACCCATGTTCATCGCAGCACTGTTCACGATAGCAAAAAGATGGAAACAATCTAGGTGCCCATCAACAGACGAATGGATAAACAAATTATGGTACATACATACAGTGGAATACTCCGCAACAGTAAAGAACAATAGTGAATCCGAGAAACATCTCACAACACGGATGAATCTGGAAGGCATTATGCTGAGTGAAATTAGTCAGTCACAAAAGGACAAATATTGTGTAAAACCACTATTATAAGAACTCAAGAAAAGGTTTAAACACAGAAGAAAACATTCTTTGATGGTTATGAGGGTGGGGAGGGAGGGAGAGGCGTATTCACTAGCTAGATAGTAAACAAGAATTATCTTAGGTGAAGGGAAGGACAACACACACTACAGGGGAAGTCAGCACAACTGGACTAAACCAAAAGCTCAGAAGTTTTCTGAATACAACCAAACACTTCGAGGGACAGAGTAGCAGGGGCAGGGGTCAGGGGACCATGGTTTCAGGGGACATCTAGGTCAATTGGCATAACAAAGTTTATTAAGAAAATGTTCTGCATTGTACTTTGGTGAGTGGGGTCTGGGGTCTTAAAAATTAGTGAGCAACTATCTAAGATGCATCAATTGGTCCCAACCCACTTGAAGCAAAGGAGAATGAAGAACACCAAAGACACAAGGAAAGTATTAGCCCAAGAGACAAAAGGGCCACATAAACCAGAGACTCCATCAGCCTGAGACCAAAAGAACTAGACAGTGTCCGGCTACCACCAATGACTGCCTGTCAGGGAACACAACAGAGAGTCCCTGATGGACCAGGAGAAAAGTGGGGTGCAGAACTCAAATTCACATAAAAAGACCAGACTTAACCATCTGACTGAGACTGGAGGAACCCTCATAGCCATGGCCCCCAGACTCTCTATTAATCTAGAACTAAAACCATCCCCAAAGCCCACTCTTTAGATAAAAATTAAACTGGACTATAAAACATAAACTATTACTTGTGAAGGGTGTACTTCTTTGTTCAAGCAGATACATGAGACCAAATGGGCGGCTCCTGTCTGGAGGCAGGATAAGAAGGCAGGAAGGGACAGGAGCTGGTTGGATGGACATGGGAAACCTGGGGTGTAAAGGGGGAGTATGCTGTCACATTATAGGGATTGCAACTAGAGTCACATAACAATATGTGTATAAATTTTTGTATGAGAAATTAACTTGAGCTGTAAACTTTCACCTAAAGCACAATATATATTTAAAAGGCGAGGCGAGAGATGTGGGCCATGGGCATAATGCAGCAGCAGACAAGCCTACAGGCAATCAAACAAGATCAAGGTTCAATACCACACTGTACCAGCAACTCACGAAATCATGTCAGGGAGCCTCAGTACTCTCTCTCCACCTAGTGGGGGAAAACAGGACTGGCTGGCTCCTTTGGACTGAGTGAGCTTCTGGAGAGCTTGGTGGAGACTCTAAGAGCGAGGTATTGGACTCCTCCTAGAAACTGTAGGTGGGATCAGGTGGGAATAATTGAAGAAATAAAGGAAAGATGATCTTAAGTTTTAATCTGGGCTGGAGAAGTAGAATGCACAGATTACTGTGGCAATAATCAGGGATGAAGACTAACGGAGGTTCTTCTCATCTGAAATGTCATTATTCACTTGAGTCCTCAGATTTCACCCTGCTGTTCTTTTGTCTGAGTCTCAAAACTAATTTGTGAGGGTTTTTAAGACCCAACTTTTACGATTGACTGTCACAGAGGACATATAAAGGAGTATGAGGTAGACCAGAGAATCTTGTGTGACTGCACATTACAATCACTCAAGAATTTCCTTAAATTATCAGTGTTGGGCCCACCCCGGAGAGTCTGATTTATTTGTTAAGTGCTGGGGACTGGACAATGGGTGTTTTAAAAACTTCCCATGTGATTCTAATATTCAAAAACGCTTGTAGCATGTGTCTTTCAAAACATACCACCTAAAAAGGAAAACTTTGGGTGTAAAATAATTCAAAAGTTAGTAATCAAAGAGAAGTCTCATTTCTTAGCATATCCAGCAGGGTTACAGGCAAATCGTAGTCTACTAGTCAATAAGTTACAACAGCCTTCTACGTGCCCCTAGCAATATGTTTGTTTCTAGACTGGCTGTCTTAGTCATCTAGTGCTGCTATAACAGAAATACCACAAGTGGATGGCTTTAACAAAGAAAGGTTTATTCTCTCACAGTACAGTAGGCTACAAGTCCAAATTCAGGGCATCAGCTCCTGGGGAATGCCTTCTCTGTTGGCTGTGGAGGAAGGTCCCCACCACCAGTCCTCCCTTGGTCTGGGAGCATCTCAGTGCAGGAACCCCAGGTCCAAAAGATACTCTCTTCTCCCAGCACTGCTTTCCTGGTAGTATGAGGTCCCCAACTCTCTGTTTGCTTCCCTTTCCTTTTATCTCTTGTAAGATAAAAGGTGGTGCAGGCCACGCCCCAGGGAAACTCCCTTTATATTGGATCAGGGATGTGACCTTAGTAAGGGTGTTACAATCCCACCATAATCCTTGTCAGCATAAAATTACAAGCACAAAATGGGGGACAACCACACAATACTGGGAATCACGGTCCAGCCAAATTGATACACACATTTTTTGGGGGTACAATTCAATCCATGACACTGGCTTTGACAAAAGAACTGCTACCTTATACTCAACCGGCGAAAAAGAACTTTGCTTGGGAATGAGATTCAGCACCGAAGCTTTCATCAGGTAGAAAATCTCTTTCTGCCAATCACTTTTCTTAGAGCCCCTCTCATGTCCTTATTCCTCAGACTGTAGACGAAAGGGTTCAGCATGGGAATCACCACTGTGTACAACACAGTAGCTGTGGTGTCTTTCTCAGCCGAGTGGGAAGATGAAGGGTTGAAATACACAGCTATGATGGTGCCATAGAAGAGGGAAACCACAGTCAGGTGGGAGCCACAGGTGGAAAAGGCTTTCCATTTTCCCTTTGTGGATGGGACTCTCAGGACAGCATGGGTGATGCAAATGTAGGAAACCAGGATGCAAACAAATGGGGTGATCATTATCAGGGACCCCTCAGTAAGAATCATCATCTCATTGAGGTGTGTGTCGGAGCAGGAGAGTCTCAGGAGAGGAGTCATATCACAGAAGAAGTGGGGGATCGTGTTGTCTGCACAGAATGATAGTTGAGCCATCAACAGGATATGCAACAGAGCATTCAGATTGGCAATGACCCATGACCCAGCAACCAGCAGGGCACAGAGCTGAGGGGTCATCTTTGTTGTGTAATGTAAAGGGTGGCACACAGCAACAAAGCGGTCATATGACATCACAGCCAGAAGGAAATTGTCCACGTCACCAAACACGATGAGAAAATACAGTTGCATGAGACACCCAGAGAAGGAGATGGTCTGACTCCCAAGGATGTGATTGGTCAGCACCTTGGGCACAGTGGTGGAGGAGAAGCAGACGTCCACGAAGGACAGGTTAGTGAAGAAGAAGTACATGGGGGTGTGCAGGCGGGAGTCTGTGCTGATGGCCAGGATGATGAGCAGGTTTCCCAGGACTGTGGCCATGTACATGCTCAGGAAGAGCACGAAAAGAAGCTGCTGCTGCTGGGGCTGCCTGGAGAGCCCCAGGAGGAGGAACTCGGAGACACTCGACTGGTTTTCTCTGCTCATGAGCATGTGGACTTGAGTCCAGATTCAGATAAGACAGAACAAATTTTAAAACCTAGAAAAGGATCGTTGAGTTGGGACAATTAAGAAAATCAGAAGGGGAAATCTTTGTATGCCACAGGAAAGTCGTTAGGATTTTGCTCCCTGGGGGTTTCAGCCAGCCACTGGACCTTTTAAAGCCTCTATTTCTTCATTAGCAAAATCAGTACAAATACTTACCCATACATAGCACCTCTGGAAGAATGCTCAAAAGATTGTGACAGTGGTTTTCTCTGAAAATCCTTTTGTGCAGTTTGAAATTTCTACCACTATCATGAATTTATTTATTTATTTTATTGTACTTCAGGTGAAGGTTTACAGAACAAATAGTTTCTCATTAAACAGTAGTACACATATTGCTTTATGACATTGGTCAATAACCTCACGACATGTCAACCCTCTCCCTTCTCGACCCCTCCCCCTTTTTTTGGTGAAAATATACATAGCCAAAGATACACCATTTCAAAAATTTCTACGTGCACTGTTCAGTGACATCGACTACGCTCTTCCAATTGTGCTGCTATTCTCACTTTAGATGAAGGTTTACAGAACAAAATAGTTTCTCATTAAACAGGTAGTACACATGTTGCCCTATGACAACGGTTAATAACCTCACTACACATCAACACTGTCCTTACTCAACCTTGGGTTCCCTATCACCAGCTTTCCTGGCCCCTTCTGCCTTCTAGCCCTGTCCCTGGACTGCTGTGCCTCATGAATTTTTTTAAAGTAAATGTTTAAAACACTGTAAATATAAAATATTAATAGAGACTTTAAGATTTTAATTGAGTGGTGGACAACACATAAGTACAATGGTTACCATAGAGACTGGCATGTAGTAAGTATTTAAAATAGGTGACTGATATTATCAACATTATCAGTGATGTTGCCTTAGAGGAAATAGTTAACTTCTCTGAGTTTCAGTTTCATTATCTTTAATCCCGACATGGTACACATTCCTAACACATGTGCTCAGAGAATTATATCAACTGTCCATCATCCACTGCTTCCAAAGCGACAGTGATAATATTTCTTCTGCTGTTGCTTCTTTCTGGGCTCATGCTTATGAAGACTTTACAAAGGTCTCAGTTAGGACTTCTTGGCTGCATCCACTCAGCTTCCTAAATCCAACTGGTAATATTGAAATGGAAATAACTCAAAAGTATAGGCAGAAACTCGGCCAACTAGTGATGCCCACAGTCCAGGGACTCATTGACAGGGCACGTACTGGTCATTCCTGGGTGATCTCAAGGAACAGCTGGTGAGTTTAGAACTGTGGCTTCACTTAAAAGACTTAGTGAGGAATCCCTCTATAAGTCTTTCCAACCTGACAAGCAGGTATTGGTGAAGTCTCCACTGGTGTGACTCTTACCTGGCAAAAATTGCAGTCCTCTCTGTCACCAGAAGTCTCAGGCTCATTTCACTTCTTCAGATCTGGCCAGAGGTTATTGGTCAGAAGGACAGGGACTTGTTACTGGGGATTGCAAGCTAATTATGCATGAATGAGGAGCTGGAGTGCATGGCCTCAGTCCTTGGTGCAGGAAGAGTATTTGGAGGAATCACACGGTGAGCCCTTTACAGGAGCCTCCATGTCCACTGGGGCCATATTCCCCGAGAGCCTCATTAGAGACAAGCAGAGAGTAATTTTCCCTTCTCTTCCTTGGGCTATTTCAATCCAACACTGATAATAAAGACCTGTCATCTGAGTTATGTAATTCCTGCTGCAGGACTTGGCAACATTGAAAATGATGCAATCCTGGGAGTAATCCCTGGCAACAACTCTTCTGCTAAAGAGAACTCACAATCCTATACTTTATACTTCCCCCAACCTTGGATGGTGTCACTGTTGGGAAATATACATGGAGCTGTATAGGGATTAAGAGTATCTTTGAATTCACACAGACCTGTACTCATTTCCCAGGCTCATCTTTACCAGTTGTGTGACCTTGGTTGTTGTTGTCAGGTGCCATCAAGTCACCGCCAACTTGTAGTGACCTTAGGTATAACAGAATGAAACATTTCCCGTCCTGCAACATCCTCAAAATAGAACGTATTTTTGAGCCCACTATTGAAGCCACTGTGTCAACCCATCTCATTGAGTCTTCCTCTTTTTTACTGACCCTCTACTCTACCAAGCATAATGTCCTTCTCCAGCAATTCATCCTTCCTGATAACATGTCCAGTTAAGAAATGTGGAAAATGATAGAATTGGGAAATCATCATTTTGCAGCTTCCAATGAAATAATTGATAGATGTCATGAACACAAAGGGTTGTTAAAAGCAAGAGATAAAAGTTTGTTGGAAACAGAATATTCCCATAGTATCAAATTATATCACTCCACAGGTTGCTTGCTAATTGCAAAGCGGAAATACGCCTTTATGATAATGTGGGTGATTCCTAGAGGTGGTATTTTGAACTGTTGTTGTTAGTTGCTGTCGGGTTGATTCCAATTCTTGGCGATCCTGTGTGTTACACAGCTGAGCAAATTCCAACTCATGGTGACCTCATACGGGCAAAGGAGAACTGCTCTACAGGATTTTCTTGACTATAATCTTAACAGAAGTAGATGGCCAGGTTTTTGTTCTACAGTACCACTGAGTGGGTTTGAACCCCTAACTGGTAGGAATAGTGTAAATTTATGCCATTCTCTATGACTGTTTTTCCTACCTTGTCATTCAGGATAGATGAAAACTGATACTAACACTTTGAAAGGTCTCCATCCAGACTTTAAGTAGCATATGGATAGGGCATTGACTTTAATGGGTTCTTGATACACAATGAAATTTAATGTTCTAGGTAAAGAAATAGAATTACAAAAATTTCCGGTTTTTAAATTTAAACAAGTTTCCCTATAATCTTTTGGTGTTTATCTCTGCCTACTGTTCACCATAAACATTAAAAAATACGAGTTGCTGTCCAGTGGACTCCAACTCATAGTGATCTCCCTTGTGTCAGAGTGGAACTGTGCTCTAGAGGGTGAACTCTTCCCCTGTTGATGGCCATTCTTGTTTTCTTACCATATGAAACTCTGCTGCAATAAAATATCCTAACATACCTTGGTCCTTTTGTCCTATAAGACGGATTGACTTCATAATAGTAGAATTAAAGGGTTAAGGAGGATTACATTTTTAATTACTCTTACTAGAATGTGTTCCAAAAAATCAATGACATTTCACATTTTCCTAACCAGGTATGAGAATGCACTGCTCTTTTCTTCTTCCTTTCTTTCTTTTGTCAATGTGTTGCGTGAGAAGTAAACGTTTCACTTTAATTTGCATTTCCCTCATACCTAATGAGATAAAACATCTTTTTTTCTACTTGCTTACAGAAATTTGAAGTTACTCTTCCAAGCATTGGCTGAAAAGTTGGAGTCCTTTTCCCATTGTTCTGTAAGGTTGTGGTTTTGTTGTTGTTCTTTTATAATGTGTAAAAGTCAACTTTATGGGTTATTTTAACTCCTTATTTATTTTTGAAGTTGCAAATATTTCCCCATCTATCACATTTTTATTTACCTTTTGACAGTGGCATTTGTTTTTACCTCATAATAGACATATTTTAAATGTCTGTGTAATAAAAAACTTAGTTGTACATCTAAAGATGATTATAGTGACATTACTCCAGGTGGGAATCAAACTCACAATCCCTGGCTTCGGAGGCCAGTGCCTTATCTGTCAGACCACTGGGGCAGACAGCAGGTGTTTTCATGGGAAAAATGAAAGAAGAAATCATTCATTACTGGTAGCCAGAAAGTGATCCAAGAATGAGTTTGAGTATTTACTCAAGAAAACTTTGCTGAGTTCCTACAATGTACCAGCCTCTCTTTAAGTTGCTGAGGACAGCATAGTGAACCAAACAGTCGAACCCTCGCCCTCCCTGGGAGCTCCTAGCCTCAGACTGCACCTTCTCCACCTGCAGAGCTCTCCTTTCCCAGGTTCCAACCGGCACCAGCTCCATGGATTCGGGTGCGTCTGGTTCCTCCAGAAGGGATCTCAGGCTCCCAAAGGTGCTGGATTTACCTTCAGATGAACGGATCCAGAAAGCAATGCAGCAGCCTCTGGCTGCATCAGGTGGTGGAGTATTGGGCTTTGATATAAAGCCCTTTGGCTGTCTTCTATAAAGGTGACCTTCCTTGATTCCACAGCTTGAGGGTTTTGGAGTAGGATGGTGGCTGGCAAGGGAGATAGAATTTTTCGTCTGCAGAAGTCCTGGAGGGAGGCACACATTAAGGTCCTGAAGTCTTAGGAACGAGTCCCCAGGCTGGGGCACTTTCCTGAAGCAGTGGGGGTCCTACTTGGGGTGGGCCGGTTGTATTTCTGTTCATACTCTTCCAAAGATTTAGTCTTTTGGGGTCACAAATTCATGGGGAACTCCACCACCTGCAGTGGGCCCTGGGCTGTACCTTTCTTTCCCAGATTCCTGAGGTGCTCACGTTTGCCACCTTGGCCAGTGCCCTCAGAGTGACGCACCCCATTCGGTTCCCACTTTGGTTTAAATTTGGCCTGGAATTTCTTTACTCTCCTGAAAGCTCTTCAATGCTTTTAAGTTTATTTGTTTATTTTTAATACCAGCATTTTCGGTTGTTTTCAGCAAGAGGGTTGCTCTCAACAACCTCCTCCGTTCTTGTTGTTGGAAAATGGCTCTTTCCAGGAAAATTTTTCTTTGTAAATTCCTGCTGTGACAGTGGTGTTTCTTTAAGCAACACATAAGAGTTTTTAAATACCTTCTGGGCGGAGGGGATTCCCCTGGGAAATCAAACTGAACCTCAGTCCCAGGGCCTGCGGGGCACTCCGAAAGTAGGAGATCGGACCTGAGCCCCCTGGGCCCATGGTGGCCCTGAAAGGGGGAAAATTTCACCCTTTACAGAAAGCAGCTCTCGGGATTGGAACTCAGAAAGTCTGGTCCCACTCAAGGGTCACTCACACTCCCCAGTCCACCCACGAGCCCAGGGCTAATCCTCTGACCTTGAACT